TTTTTTTTTTTTTTTTTTTTTTAATGTAACAATGAGAATCCAAACTAAGGTATCTCAGTTCCCGATATTAGTAAATTTTGACACACCGTAATTATGTTGTTATATTTCATTCAATAAATCATTTAGCTTATATTTATTTTATTTTATTTACCCTAGTCAAATAAATCATCTAGCTCCGCCATTACTGATAACCATTACAAAAAAAATTGCATTTAGCGACTACCAAAATCGGTCGTTAAATTGCTAAAATTGGTCGCTATTTGCCTTAGCGACCGAATTAACGACCGAATTTAAGTAGTCGCAAAAACCCTAGTCACAAAGCTATATAGCGACCAAAAAATTTTCGGTCGCTATTTAGCGACCGAAAATTTTGGTTTAGTGACCGAAAATTTCGGTCGCAAAATGGTTGCAATGATTTTGGTCGCTGATGTGTATGGGACCAAATTAGTGACCGAATAAATCGGTTGCTAAATCGGTCGCTAAAGATTTATTTTTTATTTTATTAAATTTTATAGACGTTGAAAATTCGGTCGCTATGAAATGCTCATATTTGGCCTCTCAAGGATTCTATTTCACAATACTTCACTTTTCAACATGTTTTGTCCTTAATTACACAATTTTTGGGAAACTTCCCAGAAGGTCACCCATCCCTATATTACTCCAAGTCAAGCACTGTGTGTAACGACCCGGCTAGTCACTACACACGGCATCGCACACTAGAAACTCCAGACAGATAGAACAAGTATATAAATATAGGATCTAGAATATATAAATATACAAAGTTCTAGTCTGACTAGGGTTAAAGTGTACCAAAGAAAATTACAACCAAATGCTACTATCCCAAGTAGGTACCAGCAAAATATCCACACAAGCAAAACAGCTCCAAGGTCCACTGGAGACTCACCACTAGACGCCCACCTATTCCTGTTCTGCTCCCATACACAGTATGATCATCGCAGTCCAAACACCATGGAAAAACAGTGAAAGATCCTAAACGAGGTTGCAACTAAGGCAAGCTAGGGGTGATCACAATTAAGGCGGCTTTCCATCACTCCCCCTCCGAGACTATTGGCCTAAAGTGTGGCTAATGTAGGTGGACCAATAATGGATATAGGATAAGCTCTCATATCAAGTTGAAATGATTTTTTTTATTAATTGTATATTTTGTACATTCACTAATCTCCCTTTTATAGGGTATATGACTATGCTTAAAAAAACAGGAAATAACGATAATGATGATACAGGGAAACAAATATATAATGATATTCAAATATATTTTTGACCTCCTAAATATCTATGATCTATGATATTTGCGACAAAAAGTTTTTAAAATATTAGGATATTGATATCCCCTAAGGTAAAATTCCTATTACATATAACACCCTTATTTTTGAAAGATTAATTACACCTCCATCCTTACTTTGTTATTTACAAAGAAAAATAATGCAAAGCGCGAAAAGGGACATACATTTAATTTAACTTTTGACCAAAGAAGAGTGTTGAATGGGGTGTAAAACAAGTTGAATCAAGTTGAGTCCTTGAAGCTCAAGCTTGGCCTGTGAAAAAGAACACACTACTCAAGCTTGGCCCATTTAATAGAATCAATTTAAAGCTTGGGTATGACTTGATTAAATACATGAAGCTTGAATTCAACTTGTTTAGTACATGGCTTGATTATTTTCCTTCCCTTTATCAAATCTCTCCTTAAAGTATTTTTTAAGTTCAATAAATGGTACTCCTTTTGGTCCTTATTATAAGGCACAATTTAGAAGAAAATGGTATTCCTTTTTATGAGACGCTTTACAACATCTATAAAGCATTAATTTTATTTTTTTATCTTTTACCCCTATTAAAGATTGTGAGAATATGTGTTTCTTGTTGTTGTTGGATAATGAGAAGAGAATTTGATAAGTAAATGTTCTCTCTCATCTCTTAAAATCTCCAATTGTCATTTACTAATTTTATTGGTGTTGGTGCAAAAGCTTTAATATAGAGTACATCTTCACTTCTCATACAAATTTAATGATAAGGAAGAATAAAATTGGTACATCGTGATTTTGTTTTGCAAATCCAATAAAATTAACTAACATGACTATTTATATTAGTCAATGTGATTCAGTTAAAACTGTCTTTTAATAAGAAACGGAGGGTGTATTTAATAGACAAATCTATGGTCTAAACTAGAAAATGAAGTCAAAATAGAATTACAACTTAAAAAATCAAAGAAATAATTAAAAAAATTTAATCTATACCTTCCGTATCCAACATTTTAATTTCTTTTGTTGTTGAAATTTTACTATTTATATATAAAGGGAAAATTGCACCAAGCCTAGTTAAACATTAGGCCTTTTGGCCTTCTGTCTCAAGTCTAAAGTTGTACTAATTAATCCCAATACTTTAACGAATATCACAGATTCTTTCATCAAGATGCTGTAATAGATTCTTATATCAAGATGCCATTAACAAACTGCCACCACTGGGGAGTTAATCCTAATTATCCATCTATATTCTATACTAAATCTAGACAGACAGTTGATTGATTTATTTTCAGAAATATGCTATATAGAAAATTAAATAAATAAAGCAACTGAATATTTTGCTTTCCTGCACAGCATTGGATGGCATTTTGCTTCTCTGCTGTAAGACCTATGTCATACATACACCTAGGAACTGTAGTTATAAATCTCAAATAGCGGCACATAGAAGCCAACCCCAAAATGAGATAGTGTGGTGGTAGGTATTCTAAAATTTTATATACATATTAAATAATTTCTTAACTCCATCTTTTGTCTCAGTCAATTCCCAGCCCTTATGCTATCAACAGCCAACATAAAAACTTGTTGAAATCCCAAAAATGGATTGATCAAGACTGTATTAAACAGTTTCAACTACTATATACACATACATGGTAAAAAAGTTTAAGGAAAAATACTGAAAATTTATGACATAGTCATAATTAACAATAAAAATCAATGAATCATAAGCAAAAGTGCAAAACATACAACTAAATAACATCCAAAGTCAAGTAAACAAACAAGGTGGGAAACAAAAGACAATGTGAACAGAAACAGAAAAGAATGTCACAGTTGCTGGAAAAGGTCGTAGTCCTGGAAAACTGCCAGAGAATACAAGGTCTTTGGCGATAGTGAGTGGATATGCTTCAGATTTCAGATAGGATGGCTGTGACTTAAAACAGGGTGGCAAATTGAAGTCTGAAATGGCGATGAAAAAGGAGGGATTTGCTACCCATGGCTATAGTGGCACCATAGCATGCTAGTATCCCTATTTCATCTGCTATCTTGGTTGCGACAGAAAAACACTCTGCAATGGCTATTCTGTTGTGGCCAAGGGCCAGGACAGTGGTATAGTGTGAAATTAATAACTATGCTAGAAAGTAGAAACCAAAAAAATGTTCTGTATTCATTCATTCTCTTGCAGAATCTCCTTCTTGAGTTGCAGTTGTGGGTAACAAAAGAGTTCTGAACCTTTGCAATGACTACATGGAAGACTACAAAGTATGTCCATCCCCTTCACTCATAACTCCTATACCGCTATTTCATTCCCCATTTTTGATCTTCAAAGTTGAGTTCCAGATCCATTCCTAGCATTGCAAGCCAATGGTTCCTTGCCTCCTAGGATTAGAAGACCCACTTGGCTTGGAATGCACAGCTGACAAGCAAACCAGGTTTTTCCATGTAATCTGATTCCATTGTTGTACTTTTTTCATGTAGCATGCTTAAAAACACCATTTTTTTTTTATAATAAATGCTGTCCAGATTTAGTATAATTGGCCGACTAAACTTAACTCAGTTACTGAGTTAATTAACAGAAGCATTTGTCTTCTACAATAAAAGAGTTTAACCGAACATTTATAAAGTAGTAGTAGAGTTAATATACTCAACGAGTATCCCAACCCAACCATTTACACCCAAAGTGTCTAACAAGTGTAATAAGTGCTAATCAATGTAGACAAAAAGAGCTAGTAAAAGCAGAACAAAGACCCTTACCTCATTCGCCACGGGAGAAGTCTTATCATCCTTGTCATAAATAAACGCGAGAAGAACATGCTTGAATTCCTCATATGCTTCCTTAAATACAAAGCCAACCGTCAGAACCAAACAACACCAAAAAAAAAAGAAAAAAAAAAAACAGAGTGAATTAAATTTGACGAATTCAATACCGGATAAGCGTCGAGCGCGCAAGATATAAGCTGTGCAGATGAGCTGATACTCATAATGATGAAATTTAATTACATTGTTATGTATCTATTTGTATGCTGATTTTAATTACACTAGCTTACCCTTTCACTGTTTTTCCATGGTGTTTGGACTGCGATGATCATACTGTGTATGGGAGCAGAACAGGAATAGGTGGGCGTCTAGTGGTGAGTCTCCAGTGGACCTTGGAGCTGTTTTGCTTGTGTGGATATTTTGCTGGTACCTACTTGGGATAGTAGCATTTGGTTGTAATTTTCTTTGGTACACTTTAACCCTAGTCAGACTAGAACTTTGTATATTTATATATTCTAGATCCTATATTTATATACTTGTTCTATCTGTCTGGAGTTTCTAGTGTGCGATGCCGTGTGTAGTGACTAGCCGGGTCGTTACAAA